AGTTTTTTTTGAACGTTTTAGTCAATAAATTTGTAACTTTATTTTTCATATATCAACGCATCTTATTCATAATAACTTGTTAATGAATAACATCAAATGAATTTATTGTGGTAAATAAATCATACCATTAATAAATTATAATTAATACTTTAGCTTCAACATTAATAAAAATGATAAAAATATAAAAAAAAAAAAATAAAAAAAAATTATAGAGGAATAGGATAGGAAGTGAAGCAACAGCACTATTAGGCGGGTACATCACCCAACGATGGCATATGCGCAGCCTAAAAATGCTCGAGATTCAGTATCAACAATGTAAACTGAAATGCCGAATGGACTAGGTAAGTTTTGTGGTGTCGGAATATCCACGCTTGTAGAGAATGGGGTTTTAGCTTCAATTGAACACCCAGTTTCTTCACAAACGTGTCCATAATATCGTTCACTTATTGCGCTTCCAGTTGTAGGATCAGCATAAAATACAATAAGTGGGTTTTTTTCTGTAATATCTGAATCTAAAATTCCGGAAACAGTAAATTTATTTATTTTTCCGGGGACGACAGGATCAGGATTGAGTGTTACGGATATTAAGGTTGGCAGTGTAGTAGTCCCTTGAGCAGGAGGGCATTGAACAAATAAAGCAGTTCTTTTTTGAAGTAGAGGTGGGAATGCATTGACCAAGGAAAGCATAGCCAATATAATGAATACAAAAATAAAACTTCGGTTCATGATTATTATTTCCTTGCAAAGGTATTGATTTAATTGTAAGTTTTATTTGTGAATGTAATTAATTTCTTGAATTTCGAGTTAATTGAAATAAGTGCTTTATATAAAGAAAAAAATTGTCCTATTCCAATTTCAATTATTCTTGTAATCTTTTTTTAAATTTACAAATTTCGATTCGGATATCATGTTTTGAAATTTAGTGTGAACCATGTTTGTGAAGATATTCATATGGTTTATGGTTTCCAAAATAATTGTCGAATATTACGAAAATTTTGATAAACGCAAAATCGAATTAATCGAAAATCGAATTAGAATCGAATTAATCGAATTCGACGATTAATGCGATTAATTATGATTCTGTTGATGATCATTTCTAAAAATATGGTAACAGACCCGAAGATCAGAATCACGAAGGGGTCATAATCCCGAAGTAATAATCCCGAATGACCATAATCCCGAAGGGTCAAAATCACGAAAATCACAATATTCGATTTGTGTTGCACGACATTATTAAATTTTTATTAATGATTTTTTAAACTTACTTTCGATGAGATAATGCATTGCAATTTTCATCGATTTTTTCGATAGTTGGCAAATATAAAGTGGTCAAGATAAAGACTTTTGATAAATAAAAATTCAAAAAAACTCAATGAACTTCGTTAAACTCGTGATAGAACTCTTTAAAATATACTAAATATACTGTACGTAATATTTCATAAAATAATATTCGGGATTATGGCCATTCGGGGTTATGATCGTCCGGGATTATGATCATTCGGATCATTCGGTATTTTAACCATTTGGGATTATATTATGATTACGACTTCGGGATTTTGCCTTATTTATAACTTCCTTGATCGCGTGATTTATAAGTCACGCGTTGTTTTGGTTATACAAGTCAGATATTCGGGCTGTTCATCGTGATTATAGCGTGAGTCGCATACTGTACTTTGAATAACCTTTATAATATATATTTATTTTTATATCAAATGTATGTCATTTCATCCACAAAGCCATTAAAAGAATATTTTCGAAGAGCAACTTTCATGTTGAAATAATTTCGAATCTATAGAAAGAATAGCTCATAATCCCGAAATCCAAAATCTCGACAGGTACAAAATCCCGAAAATAATTTTTATTTGCTATATAATATATTAGATTTAAATTAATTAGATGTTCAAATATAGATTGAAGGACGGCATTTATATAGCAGAGTAGTTCGAAGGAAATTTTAGCAAGAATTTTCGTTAGTATTTAGATAGTCTTTGATCGACATCACAAAGGCAGTAATATATTTAATTTATGATTGAATTAATAAAGCTACTTGGTTTCTTTTGTTAGTTAATAAAATTTTGTTTGCTCAACTTAAATTCTTATATCTGATAAACGTTACATCTTAAATTCGGGTAATAGTACGAAAGCCCGTAACTCAATTCTGGGCGGTATTAAATTTTAATGCGGACCAGTTTTTCACTTATCGGGATTTCGTATTTTGATCTGTCAGGATTTTGAACCTGTCGAGATTTTGGATTTTGGGATTTTGATCTCCGGATTTTGAACTGCACATGCCACATGAGGACGTTTTTGACAGTGTTGGATTTGAACATATATAATGTCCAATTATACGAAAGCGCTATATATTTAAAGAAGTTCTTCTTCGATTTATGCAAATGATAGGTTAAACATCTTGGCTTCTAAATTTACCTACAACATTTAAAATTTAAAAGACTTAATATTTAGTAATTTGATGCAAAAGAAGTATCGATAAAAATTTATCGTAGGAAAAAATAATAATTAAGGAAATAGAGCGGATATCAGTGTCCAATCGTAACATTAAATACGATAATAGAACAAATGTTAGAATTAGAAAGAATCATAACTTCATAAACTCGGCCAATTATTTCTGATTGTAGAATTGACGAAAAATGTTCACAATAGTAATTTCGCTCGTTTCAATTTCTACTTTGAAGATTACGAATTGCGCAAGTATTTGAAATGAAACTATAAAAAATAAACTTTATTTATCCGTGCTTAAACATGTGTGCGAATGCACTTTCTAATATCCACTTCAATATTATGTCCGACCTCGTTAATGTCAATTAAACCAAGAATTATATGTGATAAAAAAGGGGGATATAATAAATTGTACTATAATTCTTATTACCTAACTCTAAAATCAAATTATTCGCACTTTGTTCTTTTACACTTTTACACTATGCAATTTCTAATGATTTTTATTTTTTATGTTTAAGAAACTTCCACGCCGTATCCTAAAGTTAGTACAACCTTCGGTTATTTGACAAAATTTTCTTAAGGTAAATTGACTTTTTGGTGTGAATTTTTTAATGTGACATGACGAAGAAAAGTCTGTAAAAAAAGATTTTCGAATGAAAAGGTACAACAGTTTTTCCATACTATTTTAATTGCCAAGTAAAAAAAAAATAAATAAAAGAAACGCCACATTTAGATTCCATGTGACAAATATGATATTTGTTTTTTAAAAAATGTATGACACAGAATGAATTTTATTTAAAAATCTTCATGAAAGTGTTTATTAGTTTTGTGTGCATTTTCAGTCCATATTCGTAAATTCTTTATGTAAAATGGAATCATAATTTCATTTAATTACATATAATCTTTTCAATTGGATATCCTAATATGAATATGTGACCTTTAACCTTGAACGGTCGATTGTATAAAGGATTTAGCTATAGTTCACACTTCCAATCTCGAAATGACACTCAATTCTAAAGTTGATTGTGGTAAACGATCCAACAAACTCATGAAAAGGGTCATCAGTTCTTTTGAATTTTGTTCCGAATAAAAAATATAAAATTTTCTCAATAAAAATATTAGGGAATGATTCGCGATAATTAATAAAATAACCAATTAAATATAACGTTATTAAAATAACATCGCGGAAATATAACTATTACTTAATAAACAGTTCTGTATTAAAATATAGTTGAAAATGAAAGAAATTTTTTTCATATAAGATAATTTGCAAATAATAATATTTTTTTTTTTATAATCAAGTCAAAAAAAATATGTATAAATATAAATTATTGCAACGAGGTTTGCCAATCATCGTACGGTTACACCAGATTTATAAAAAAAATGCTTGTACAAGACAAACTTATTTAACATACATTTTCCTTATTTCTATTTATTCTAAAACCATATGCTACGCAAAATTATAAGAAGTAGTTATAATTTCTAAATCAACTAGAAATGTGTCTAAGCAAAATTTATTCTTTTTGCAGCAGAATATAATTAAAAAAAAACGAAAGGATCTAATGAACTATTATGTTAAATGATGCCAGCTTTTAAAAGTGACTAATTTCCAACTTTTCAAAACACATATCCTTACACTACACTTGTTGATTTTTCATTATTTAAATACTTATTTGGTTATAGTCTTTTCTTTACAAAAGTGTTCATTACTACAAATGTCAATAGTTTCACGTAAATCGCTGCAACAAATCAATAGAGATAAATATGAATACAGCTCTTTAGTGAATATGAAAATAAATTATTTTTGATTTCAAAATAGTACGCAATGAGCTTTTATTATTAGATTAACTATTGATGCAAAACATTATAGTATGAAAAAATTTGGTCAAACAAATTTATAGAGACGTGTGATGATATACGTGATTATTTACATGGTTAACGACGTTAGCCAATAACACTCCGTACAATATCTATGAAATGTTAACTACATAGATTTCCGTGACAGTGAAGAGTATTTTTTTAATGGCTTCCCTTTTTTTTGATTATATCGTTTTCCTTTTCTCTTTACCTGTGCTAAAATTCCAAGGATATTTGAATACTTCGTTAAAACTACTAAATTATCGCTAATTGATTTGATTTAACATATATATGGTCGATAAAACCTTTATGGTAAAAGATTGATCACTGCAAATATGTTTTGCTTTTTTTTCATATTGTAAATTATAGATTGCCTAATGATAAAGTTACTTGCATTCATTTCTTTTTCACTTGAAAGCATGCATATATCTTTTAAAGTAAGATATTTTAACTTTGGGCAACGAGTTATGATATGATTCTAATATATTAAAATAATTAAAGTGCTAGATATTACTTTAGCTTCATTAAATGTTTTAAAGTTAGTTTGAATTCGAGTATAAAGATTTAAAAATAATATTACATTTTGCAATAAAAATCGAAGCGACCTAGCCAATTCAAGCTCAGATCTGAATATATTTTTATGACATCAATATCATTCTAAGTTAGGAGTCATGGAAAATGTATATTAAAACTATGTGTTAGTTTAATTTCAAAATGAGTTCTTTTATAAAGGTTGCAAAATTTTAAATATAATTTATGTTTGTATTTGGGAGGTGGTCAGTAGAAAAGGGGGTGGGAAATCTAAATTTTGGTCAAATTTATATTATTAGACCACTTGGCTAATCTCGATTATGTGTATAAATTTGGCTTAATAATGAAAATTAACAAAAATTTTGGATTTTCCCATTTTTTACTGACCATCTTCCATTTTTTAAAATTTCATGTACATCAAATTTCTAATATTTAATATCAATTTATTTGTTTCAATTTTATACACGTGAATAATATATCAATCGCTTCAGGGCGCAGCTATCGAATAATTTCTCCAGTTTTTCAAAAAAATCTTGCGGCGCCTTTTCTTCTAGTTAGATCCATACATTTTTTGATTGTTTCGCTTTAATTTGTATATGCAAAGTTTTTACTGTTTCCAAATCTGGTTAGTATAATAAATTTTTTCGAGGCGCAGCGATCGTATTATTATTAATTTTTTTTTTGTTTTGGTTCCTCTTTCGGCTAGCAAAAAATTATGTAAGACTTTATAAAATTTATAAAATTAAATTAAATTTTCGATATTGATTCACATTCAGTTTAATTTAAATTTTTTTTAAAAAACTATAGATAATACGCTCCGCTCCTTTGGCGCAATTTAAAACAGGTTTCGTAATAACAATATTTTAATAAAATCTTGAACCATTTTTTCGTTAAATATGTTTAATACAGAAGAATTTAAATTAATTAAAAAATACCAATCGAACCTTATTTCAATAAATGAAAAGACGAATTATACTTTCTTCTCTATCCTCAATTAAAATCAGGTATAATAATACATGGACTCCGAATTTATGCCGATACGGAAAGATCAAAAAAATATATTATAACATTTAATTTATATTAAAAAAAAAAAAGCACACAGAGACAAAAGCTAACATCCTAACGATTTGATAAAGCTAATTTGTTTCTACCGACCAGCTGCAGAAGAATCAAATTTTATTTTAATAAAAAAAAAGAACTTGTTACCTGCAATTGAAAATATCTTATCTTCAACGTTATTAAATTTTATATTTATATAAAAAAATTCGTAGAATCTCGTTGCAATAAATTATTTTTAAAAATATACATCTTTTTTTTTAATAAAAATAAAAGTGAACGAAGAAATTTTTAATTCTATTAATATAAAATTTACTTTATACTAATACTCTACTTGAATTATTTCAAAATATTCTATCCACAATTTAATAAATAATTTCAAGAAATTATTGAATGTAATACAAATTATGTATAAAAAAATCGACATGCATGCAGAAATATATAAATAATGAGAATCGAGAATGTTCTAAAGTTTTTTTTTCCCCTTCATTCTATTGGAACGATTCTTCTATCATGATGCTTTATCGTTCTTAAGAAACGATTTTATTTATCGTTCTTTTAGAATGTTGCATTATCTTTCTATTAGAATGATTCTTTTATTGTTCCTTTAGAACGATGCATTATCGTTCTATCAGAATTAATAACTCAAGTTGAGTTGAGTTTGATAAAAACTCACTCAACCCAACTCATTCAGAACTCTAGGTACTGTATAATAAATATCTATCAATTTTTGTAATTCGAGTCTAATTTTTGTCAAATCATATGACTGAATCAGCTGCATGTTTACCGAAAGGTATTAGTACCTCAAGAAATGATTTCAACTAGTGATAGTTTACTGATGATCAGTACAGTAAGGTCAATTTCTGATTATAATAATATGATTCAGCAAAAATTCATCTTAAGTTACAAAAATCAATAGTTATTTATTAAACTGTATATTATTTTAGCACTATGACCTTTTGGCAAATATTCAGCTGATTCAGTTATAGTATTTGGTAAAAATTCAGTCCAAGTTACAAAAGTTTATAGTTATTTGTTACATCATACATAATTTAGCATTATTTTTATACTAAGATCTTTTAGCAAATATTCAGCTGATTTAGTTGAAAAATAGTAAATTTTCACCAAAAGAATAATTTACCACATTTTCAAAATGAGAATTTTCCTAAAAAATATGGTAAAAATCTTAAGTTTAGAAAAAATACAGAAAAAATACAGAAAAAAGAAAGGAAAAAGGTTAAAAAAAGGAAAAATTTTTTCAGATTAATACAAAAGTTTTTGATTAATCTGAAATTTATTTATAATTGTTTTAGCCAATTGTATGATTGTAGTATTATCCAATTGAAATATCGTTTTTATTGAATGATTTATATCATCTTTTAGAGATGATAATTTGATCATTCCAATTAAATAATTTTTCATCATCTGATTAGAACAATAATGTTGATTTGAATGATAGTATATCATTCTGAATTCAGGACGAATGCTGATAAATCAAGTACCTTTCCAATTGGTCACTATTTTTTAATCAGTAATCAATAGATAAAAATCAGTAGATACTACAATAAGTATAATCAGTTAATACCATAATTATAATTATTAGGTAGAATTATATAATTCAATTTCCAATCTGATTTTATACTTATTTTTAAAAAATTTATAACTATATGTTAAATAGTAACAAATTGGTTCAATTAATAATTAATTATCAATCAGTTTAATACCTGATTGATATTTATTATTCAATTAGAATTTACTGATTGTTAACAATTCATTAACAAGTCTCGTTAACAAAATTTGTTAACAATCTGTAATGAAATTCATTGACAGTTCACTATGACAATTTGTCATGAAATTTGTTATAATGATTCATTAACGAATCTGTAATACAATTCATTTAAATGATTCGTTCGATTTGTTATAAATTTTGTTAAATGAATCTGACTAATAATTCATTTCAGGTTTTTGTTAACGAATCTGTATAATGATTTATTACAGATTTCATTAAATGAATTCTGTAAACAATTTATTAACAAATCTGTAATACAATTTGTTTAAACGATTTGTTACAGATTTTGTTAAATGAATTTCGTTAAATAATTCATTTAAATGATTCATTTTAGTTTTCGTTAAACAAATTCCATTTAACAATGCTTTAACAAATTTATAATATGATTAATTTAAATAATTCGTTACAGTTTTCGTTAAATGAATTCTGTTTAACAATTTATCAATGAATTTATAATACAGATTCATTTAAATGATTCATTTCAGTTTTATTAAATGAATTCTGTTTAATGATTTGTTAATGAATCTGTGATATAATTCGTTTAAATGATTTATTTCAGTTTTTGTTAAATGAATTCCATTTAATAATTCGTTAATGAATCTATAATAACGAATTTGTATTACAGATTCATTTAAATGATTTATTAACAAATCTATAATAAGAATTTGTAATAAAGATTCATTTAAAGTATAAATTCTTTTTTTTGGATAAGGTACAGTAAGTAGTTTTTCAGGACTATTTTTCAGCTTATTACTTATTTTTTCACCAGATCTTCTTTCTTTTGAATAAATTAAGTAGTTTTTCTATAATAGGTTTCAGATTTTTACTAATTTATTTTCTTTTTTAATAGTTGACCTTATATGCTATTGGTTAAAGTAAGTCTACAAATCAGATTGGTAAGTTTTCTTTATTAGGAGTGGATTTTTCTTGCTTATTGGCTAAGGTATGCTAAAAAACAGGACTCTTTTGTTATTGTTTTTTGGATTTTTACTATTTTTTCTTTTTTAGTAAAAGTAGACTTTTTGCTATTGGTTAAGATAAGTCTACAAATCAAGATGGTATTTTTTTTAGATTTTTACTAATTTTTCTTTTTTTAATAGGAGTGGATTTTTCTTGTTTATTGACTAAAGTAAGTTTACAAATCAGAACTCTTTTGGTGATGTTTTTTCAGATTTTTACTAAAATTTTTTCTTTCTTTAATAGGAGTGATTTTTTTTTTATCAAATATAGCAAATAATAAAATTTAATAAATTTGTAACAATCGAAAGCTTACTATTTATAAATGCACTTATCTTATAATTAATGTATTATATTAATGTAAATTATATCAATAATAAAATTCTTTTTATATTAATTAATCAGGATTACTTACTTGTATAAAATAAACAATAATAAAATTACCTGTATTATAAAATTTTGATAAAATATTACCAATCGGGATATGCTATTTATATAATAGGTTATAATAAGAATAATCCTATTGATATCTTTATAATACCCTGATTGCAACCTTATTGTATCCTATCTGGGCTATTATTTGTCATCAATTGGGATCACCTAATTCTAAAAAACAAAAAATAGGAGACCAATCAGGTCAAATCTGATAGCCCAGATTTGATCAGATTGATCTCTTATTTGTTATTGTTCAACTAGTAGAAGGGACAATAATTTGATTATTCCAATCTGATTATTTTGCATTATTTAATTGGAATGATATTAAATAATTCAAATCAAATGATTATCATTTTAAAGGAACAATTGTTTACTATCATGTTTTGGGATAATTTTTCCAATTATACAATTTTTGCATTATCCTATTGGACTAATAGAGTTAATTTTTAGCTCAACTCCAATCTATCATAAATCAGTTATAAATACAATAGCTGATTTTTGACTAATTTCTGAATTTAGTTTAAATTGCCAATAAATATCAAATGGCGATTTTTTTGATTTCAATCAGTGTATTTATAAAAGTAGAAATTTAAGTGTTATAATAAAATCTGCTAAATCTATAAGTGGCATATTTCTGGTTAAATACAAAATATAGTCAATTACATTTTATATATAAAAAAAACTAATTTTACAAAAATGTATGACCTTATAGGTTATTAATTATAATTTCTCTAAAAATGAATATTAAAATAATCTTCTGAATTATATAAAAAAGTGATATCTGAGTTAGTTAATCCTATTATTCACCTTGTATAAGAAAAACAAGATAGAATTAAAATTTCAAACAGATCAAACTATTGCCTAATATCTAAGAATTATAATCTCATCTATTTATAAATAATGTTAGTAAACAGGATGCATTTAGGTAAGGTTTCTTAATTTGATTTTAGATTAGTAGCATCACAAAGCTAATCAATTGATTTTTAAATATATGCCATTCTTAATAATATTGGTAAAAGTCTTAATTGATCCTAATTGATTCTGATTAATTTTAAAAAATTATCATATTTTTTTAAATATTATTATTTTAATCAATTTTTAATTAATGTTACTTATTAAAATAAGTTGAAATTTCTTTTTAAAATTTACAATATCTTGAAATATTAGATTTAGGACCTATGACCTAGGACCTAGTACTGAATTAAGTATATTTCTAATTGTAAAAGAATTTTTTATTAAAAAGATATATTTATTATTAGAAAATTATATTAAAAGTATATAAATCAAAATTATCAAAATTATCTTTAAATTCTTTAAGACCAATTAGGACTTATTAGGACATTTACCAACCCTAATTCTTAATCCTTTCTGCATATTTGTCAACATGTTTCTCTTCAGCGTAGTAAAATTGCTGAGGAATTCTGTCACCTAATTTTCAGCAGTTTCGTAATGGCAATAAAAAATCGAAACACCTCATAACGATAAGTATAAGCAACAGATCTCAGAGATAAAAAGGAAATAAATTGTCTAGATTCAAATATTAATGATAACCTACGGAGGATCTTGGCTGTTCGGGATTTTAAGTTTCGGGATTTCGTACCATACCACTAACGAGTCTATTGAGCTTTTTTGAACCACTTTTTGCCAATTATCGATAAAAAATCAATGAATATTGCAATGCATTATCTCATCGAAAGAAAATTTAAAAATTAGTTAATATTTAATAATGTCGTTGCAATACAAATCGAATATTGCAATTAACAAAATCATATCTTCGACACATGTTACCCAATTTTTAGAAATGATCATCAGAATCATGTTAATCGTTCGAGTTTATTAATATTCGAAAATCGTTTTGGAAACCATACCATAAAACATATGAATATCATTATAAACATGGTTCATACTAAATTTCAAATATGCCATCCAAATCGAATTTTGTAAAATTAAAAAGATTAAAAGAATAATTGAATTGGAATAGGACAACTTTTTTTCTTTATAAAAAGCAATGATTTCAATTAACTCGAAATTCAAGAAATTAATTACATTTACAATAATATTTTAAATTAAATACTTTTGCAAAGAAATAATAATCATGGCACGAAATTTTATTTTTGTATTCATTATATTCGCTACGCATACTTTGGTCAATGCATTCTTCAAAAAAGAACTATTCCTTTGTTCAATGCTATCCTATTCAAGGGACCACTACACCGCCAACCTTAATCTCCATAACACTCAATCCTGATCTTGTTGTCCTCGGAAAACCAGATAAATTTACTGTTTCCGGAAATTTAGATTCAGATATTACAGAAACAACACAATACATATTTTATGTTGATGTTAAAACTAATAAATCAATAGTCGATGGATATCATGGGCCGATTTGTAAAGGAACTGAGTGTCCAATTAAAGCTAAAACCCCATTCTCTACAAACGCGAATATTCCGACACCACAAAAATTACCTAATCCATACATCATTTCAGTTGCTATTGTTGAATCTCCAGCACTTCTGGGCTGCGTACAGACCATCGTCGGTGATGTACCCGCCTAATGGTGCTGCGATTGCTTCTAAATGGGAGCTGTTCAAAATCCGAAGATTAAAATCACGAAGGGTCATAATCCTGAGTATTATAATTTTAAAATTATAATATAATAATAGTTTGCTAATTGCAATATTCGATTTGTATTGCACGGACATTATTAAATGATAATTAAACTTTCTTTCGATGAGATAATGCATAGTATGATTTAGCATCTTTATCCATATCAATGGTTGGTCAAGATAAAGATTTTTCGCTAAATTTTAAAAGAAAATTTCGTTAAACACGTGATAGAACTCTTTAAAATATAAATATTTCATAGAAATAATATTCGAGATTATGGTCATTCGGCAACGCTCCCAATATATTATTTGAGAAGGCGTTGACCTCAAATAAATTTTTTTATTCAACAAATTTGATAATTAATTTCGGAAATATTTTATTTATTTTTAGTTGTGATAAAAATGATCGGCATAAAAAGTTACACAGAAAATATATCTTCAATCAAAATTTCACACGGTACGGTCGGTCTTTCTGAAAAGTTTGTACAAATTTGTTCACAAAATATCAATACATATTTATGAATACAGTGGGATGGTTTAAAAGATTTATTCCATTTCTTAGACATAGAACTAACACGTCAACCCATCCAACGAATGAATCATTGAAAATCTTTCTTCTCAACTAAACGAAATCATTACGCAAAGGAAAAGCAAAGAATATCTTATTGCAGAGCATGAGAAAAATTTAAAGATATTTAGCAATCGAGAAAATCATTATATCACAACGTTCAATCTAGGAGACGTTGGAAATGTTCATGATGTCAAATTACGGCCAGAAAATAGAATATCTATCGCAAACTTAAAAATTGATCAAGTACATGCCGGCAGATTTTTGTTATGTCGAGTGATAAGTAAATGTATCAAGTTAAACGCTCTTTCAACTATCATAGAAGATCCAGAGAGTGAGGTAGAACGAATTTTTTTATATAATTGGGTCCAATCATCAGCCATTCCCATAGGTACGAAACTTGCAATAAAGAATCCTTATTATAAGATTGGCATGGATCTTAGAACTATGATTCGTTCTGACAACTCCAGTGAATTATTGGTCATTAAAAACGATAATAAACTAAATAAGGAGGTGAAATGGTTCACAGATCTATCGGAAAGTAAAGAAAACAAAAACAAGTGTGAACAATCATCTGATGATTTCCGTCTTCGTGGGAATGATTATTTTAACTCAAATAATTTCAAAGAGGCTATTGATGAATATTCGAGTGGTATTAGATTGGAACCACATAATGTAAAATTACTTGCTAACCGCGAAGAAGCATTCTTGCGACTGAATCAATTCGGAAATGCTCTCGCTGATGTGGAAAATGTTCTCAAGCGTGAACCTGATCATATAAAAGCAGGAATTCGCAAGGGTAAAGCTCTCTGTGGCCTTAAACGTTATCAGGATGCCATCATCACTATTCAAAATGTACATAAAAGAATGCAAGACAATCCTCACAATAATATTATCTTAAGAAAGCAGCTTAAATATGCAAAAATGCTGGATAATGAAAGCTGGAATGGGCAATATAATTATATAAGTATCGTTGATGAGTTTTATGAGAAGGCTAAAGTTAAAAAAAGCGATGGTAATTGGATCTGTGAACATGGGTCGAGGTTGGATCATGCTGATTACTTGATTGACGATATCGAGATTCGTCTTGTCAGAGGAGGTAAAGGAAGAGGTTGGTTTACCAAATGTGACATTCCTGAACATACTCTTTTGATGGTTTCAAAAGCATTTGGATTAGTTTATAACAATGAGGCTTCCTCAATCATTAGCCTTGACTTTTTATATAGAACCATGAGCAAACCCGCAGATTCAGAATTAGTAACTCGTATTGCTCATAAGCTTATGGCAGAACCTTATCTTTGTTGAGAATTCTATCAGCTATACGCTGGTCCAAATTTGAGTCCCATGGAAATTCTTCATGAAGACCATGAAGACTCGTTACTTCTGGTGAATATAATGAGAATTAAAAGAATTATTAATTACAATGCTTTTGACCCAATGGATAGGTGGGATTTTTTGAAACATATCTTAGATAAAGACACATCAAGCAACCAAGCTGGATCGGGGCTATGGATCTTGCCATCTTATTTTAATCATTCATGCATTGATATAAATGTTGACCGATTTTGTCTTGGAGATTTAATGTTATTAAGAACCTGTAGACTTATTTTGAAAGATCAGGAACTAAATATTGCCTATTGTCATCCCGTGAGTTCATACGAAATACGATCTAAGCATCTGAATAAATATGATATAAATTGTCAATGTCGACTTTGCAAGTTAGATAGATCTGAAACACAAAAAATTAGACTTCGTCGGGCCAACATCCTTGAAATTTTTGAAAAATCTTTCTTTCCTCGAGCAAAGTCATTGCTTAATGGCTTTAAACCTGATCTTTCTCTCGCTAAAGAAATGACAGAAAAAGTTTCCGAACTAAGTGAATTGCGAAAAAAACATCCTGAGTTAGATTTACAATCATTTGAACCAAAGATACTTCTAGCTTTGATACATGCTCAAAATGGGAATTTTTGTCAATCCCTTTCTGGCATGCAGGAGATGTATAATTTATTGAAAGTATATCGACTTCCACTAACCGCACAGGCCTTTCAAATTTCAATTCTCCACTTTAAACTTGGGCAGTTAAAGGAAGCTGAAAGGTGGTTTGATGTGACACTTAAGGAGATTACAGAACCACTAAGAGGAAAATTTAAGGAAGATAAGTGGAAAAAGGAGGCGTTAGATTTAACAAAAAGAATAAAACCAGAAATAATATCATCTGCTATAAATATGAGACTTATTTAAAGCAAATTAGTCAAAGTAATGATCTATATTTATTTTTTAATAAATTTATTTGAAATACATTAAATTTTTAATTACAATTTTTTTGCTTCCAATTTTTCATTTCTATCTATTATTCGAAAGATTTAATTTGCTTTTTATCTCAATGTTTGATATAAAGTCATAAAGTATATATCACTAAATCAATTTTTTTTATAAATTCGACATTTTTTATTATTAAAACATGTTAAAGCACTTTAGGCAAAAAATAAGTATACTATTTTATATAGTTATTGGACAGGGGCGGCCGATAGGCTGATATAGCCCCTGCCCAATAATATAACTCTTGTCTTTTAGGATCGAAAATGTGCTACGTAATTACATACGTCATGCGTTAACATTTGAGGTTCCTAATAGATGCAGTGCACAATAAAATAATATACTGTACGTATAAAAAATTAATATATGAAATCTATGTTGAAAAGTATATTAATAAATTTAGTGTAAAATTTCATAAATTTATGAAAAACTTTTATTTATAATATCTTTATACGTTCTTAAAAATTTGAAACATTGTTTTTATGGTAATAATTATATGGTGAAAATCAGGTTTTGATCATATGATTTTATATAGTTCCGCAGCATGATTTTTGTACTAACCCATATGATATATAAATTTACAAATTTTATATATTTCATATAATGTATAAAAAGATAATTATATATTTAAAATTACTAATAAAAATATATTATAAATGCTTGTAATTTAAAAAACTAAACTACTTATTGTATAATATAAACAAAATTTTAATATATAAAAATTTAGTCAATTGTCTTGATTTGATTAAAATTGGATGGAATACTTTATATTGATATTATTAGATTAAAAATAGACAAATAGATGCCAGAAATTTTTTTTAAATCTAAAATCATCCAATATTTATTAGATAATTATTTTAATTTAAATGAAAAAAAAGTCTAATCTCTTATTTTTTTGAAAATATAATTTTATCAATATTATTTTGCTAATAAAATATTTACCGATTATTCACTAACTGACTTTTTAATTATCCCTTAGATTATAAGACTTTGTAAGCAAATTTATTTACTATAAATTTATTTCTGATTGTCTTTTATAAATAATTAATATTTTTAAAAAATTTATTTAAATTAATTTTATAAATATGTAATTTCATTTCAAGATAATGTTCCTAACGGGTCAAGTAGGATCAGATTTTGAAAATATGGAATAAGTGCTAGGAAAAGGAATCAAATTGACAAAAAATTTTTTTTGAAATAACAAATGATCTGAATCAGATGACCAAATTTACATCTATTTTATTTAGAAACCTTTTTTTAAAAAAAATCAATTTGGTCTAATTTCCCAGCACTCACCCCATATATTCAACCTAATCTAAATGAAATAGAAAAACCCATAAGTATTTGGGTCAAAAATTTTTTATAATCTGAATCAATTTGATCTGAATACAGTTTAATCTGTATAAACCTGAGTCAAGACTCGAATTTTTTACTCTAAAAAATTGATCTAAAAGAAAATAAAAATAATCACTAAGTAGGTCACACAAATCATTTTATATTATCATTATGGCGTAAATTTAAAGATATTATTCATTAAAAAGTATATATATTGTTAGTAATAGTCTAGTTATAACGCATTAGTACTGTGCTAATTACAATTAGCAAATGATGATCTCATCGATCTTGGATCTCAACTTTCTCTAATTTCTATGATTTCTATCATTTCTCTAATTTCTTAGCAATCTAAGCGATCTATAATTTCTTATATATCTTATATATCTTATATATCTTTAATTTCTTATTTATATTATATTTCTTATTTT